GACTATTTTACAATGGGTGTGGGATTCTTTCTAAATCATGATACTGGAAGAACTGAGCAGCATTGCATGGAACTGTTCAAATCCCTAGATATAAAATTTTACCTGAGCTGAAAGAAATACAAATTAACTACACAGAGAAGAAACATGTATAGAAATGCATGGCAAATAATAGACTGATTTTTCCTTTTTTCCCCAGTTATTGCTCACCTTCACATCCTCTCTCTATCTGTCCCACACAGTCCAGAGCATCTGACATCAAATCTGGGAGGCGCCCATTCAGATCCACGGATGCCAAACAACCCTGGAATCCCTCTTTGGCATGCACCAGTTTAGGAAGTTCTTTGTACATTTCTTTGGCCACTCCACCAATGTAAAGGTTGCCTGCAAAGAAGATATATAGCAATGCTGACCCCTGGTGGAGATATATATCAACATTTATATCAAAGTCAAGTTTCCCTGATCATACTTGTTTCAAGTTATGAGCTTCTGAAAGTATTGCCCTGGTGGACAAACAAAGAAGCTAAACTGTTGTTCATCAAAAATATCGTTCAAGTCCATACAATTCTTTACATCTTTTATTTACATGTTTTTTTGCAACTGGTTATTAAAACAAACAGTATCTATTATTTGCAGTGAATATGGATTATTTTTGTGTACAAGTATACCAACCCTTTAGGTCCAGATTTTTGGCTCCTGTAGTTGTCTGTGTAGTAATCTTAGTATCAATCTTGACAGTATGCAGATTGTTGGTGTCCCTGGAGATGATGACATTGTGCCACTGGTTGTCACTCAAGGGTTTATTTGAGTTGCCTTTAATTAAGTGGGCTCCATTCCCCAAGTCAGAGACATAGTGCAGGTAACTGAAAGAGATAGTTATCAATATGAAAGCCTTATACAATGTAAAAGTACGCAAAATAATAGGTTCGTCACAGTGAATAGCCGCTTAGATACTTCAAGTCATTTCACTCAGTCATGGAGGGACCAAAGCAAAATGTACCTTTCCAGTAGACCCCAGATGTTTCTTTTTAAGATAACAGAGTTTAGCAACAGTTTTCAGAGTGTCTGATTTGTCACCATGCTCTTAACAGACAGCATATAGTTAGATACGGACACAACAGTATGAGTGAGTTTTAAAAAAGTATACTGTGCATCTGACAACTTGAACTCGATAACTGTCTGTTGTTATTGGTGGTGTGTCAACAGGAGTTCAAACGACAACAAAGAGTTCTAGCTGTGCTGAACCAATCAAGCTAAAACTCTTTGGCTTACCGGAAATTTGTTATGTGCATGCTCTTTTAATTAGGGGTTTTTGCATGTTTTGTGCATTGAATGGCAAAACTTCAGGCGTTACTAAGAAGAAGATTATTCTATGGCTCCCATTTAAACACAGCCCCTTTAAAGTAGTAAGAAATTCACTTGTGTATTTGGTTCTCTTTTATGTTGGGCATTAGCTCTTCTTCCATGAAGATTAAAACGAACACTAATAGCTGGCAGCTCCTTTATCAAATATCCTGGCACAGGGGTGATAGGAGAAAACTAGAAGTTACTGAAAGAAGTAGCAGTATATTCTCTTTTGAAACTCTCATGTGTCTTGCATTATTAAAACATAATTAATTTCAAATGAGGGATTCCTATATAAACAAACATCACTCACACATATATGACTGTATTGCAAGACTGTAGAGTAGAAATGTTTTAGTTTCTTATATTTGCTAGACCAGACAGCTGCTATCAGGTGTTTCTGCCTTTTCAAAAATAAAGAAGAGACTTGTACCACTAACAGCTACAACCACAAACTGAAACGCGTTTGAGTTAGATCAAACAAAGCATCAGCGCTTGACATATTCAGAGAAAGGAGAGTACAAACATGACAGCAGATGCAAAACTTCCATTTACACCATCGGTGCCTGTACCTTCCTACGCCAACATGTCTTGTCTGTTCGTCTCAGTTGTCAAGATCCCCTCAACTCCCCCCTTCACTTCTTCCCCTCCCTGTTTATTTTTTCTTATTCTTTCCTTGACAGGAGGTATAGCCCTGAAAGGTTGCATGCCGTGAAAGGGAATACTTTCCCTTTTAGTACAAATTGGCCGTATTCCATTTACTCAATCTGTTTGAGACTAAATAAGTGTACCACTGTAATGTGTAAATGTGCCCGAAGATCCTACACTTAACATAAAAAAATAAAAGAAAGGATTTGAGATATGTTTTTGCTCCTACAGTTGGGCTTAGTCGGGTTGTGTTCACTTACCCTTTGACTAGCTCCACCACAATAAAGTCATTTCCATCTCCACTGTTATACAGGATGAGGCCATCTGGGGAGGTGGTTTTGAACTGAAAGAAAAGGTGCATGGAGTAGTAGGCCTGCAGAGTGGTGAGAGTCACATAACTGGACCGCGACTTGAAGGTGATAGGGTCAGCAATGATGTTCTTGAAGCCAATCATGGCATTGAGCTCACAGTAATCAATGTCCCCATTTTTACAAAGGTCTATATAGGCCATTCCATTGAAGGAAAGGCTCTGGAGGTGGCCAATGAAGTTGGAGGGCACCATGGACATGAAGCGCTTCTCTGTCACAATGCCTGTCTCAATGTTGTGGAACTCCAGCTGGGTGTGGTCACCTGCCATTTGACCTTTCATCCACAGAGGGAGGGAGAGAAAGAGGATGTTAATGAAGGTATGTGACAGTTAAAGGTGTACTGCAGTGTAAATGTAGACTAAATTAAAACATTAATTTAAATCAAATAAAATTAAACATAAGACTGGACCAAAGACCCTCTCTGAGGTGACTAATAATTCAGCTAAAAGCAGCTGCGAGACTTGTGTGTATGCATGTAAAACCACTAGTTTTACATTGGTAATAGAATAAAGAAATTAATTTAATGAAAATAACTTTATGGTAATAAATTCTACCTTCTTTTATCATCAAAATGTTGTGCTCCTAAGGGCAAACAATATCCAATGGACAATTCTTTAATCAACCATCCATTAAAGGAATTGGAATCATCAACTTAAAAATGCACTATTCTTCCAAAAAGAATACATTGACAGCATTGTGCCTCCATTAAATTGAGTCAGAATCTTTAGTTTTCGCTTTAATGTTTGAAATATTTTTCAGATTTTAAATAATAACTATTCTGTCTTAAATGTGTCTCTTAGCTCCAGTGAACATCCTCTCTGAACAGAAACAAATTATGCAGGACCTATTAAGCAAAATGTTTAATGTGAGGACATTTGAAGATAACTTGCATCTTACATTGATTTTGAGAGTCCAGAAAA